ATTTATTCTGAATACACTAATTAATTAGCATTATGGAATTTGTATCTTCTGCACATGGACAACTTGGTAATTTGAAATCTTTTGTTACTAAATTTGCCGAACTTTGTTGCAATTGACTTCTTAAGACACAATATCTAATTAAAAAAATAACACTCCACTTCTTAAAAGCAGCCGTAATTTTAATATTAGTAGTACTAATGCAGTCAAAGCCCACGCCAAATTGACTGCCTTATCTCATGTAGCCAAACTTGATAAACAAGAAGGGAGCCACGAAAGAAAAACCACAGCAGCGCCAGAACAATTTATGTTGCTCATTTTGTGGCAAGTTACTTTTAGAGTAAAACATTTGCATATAATAGCAAAATTTGCACGCCTGACACGGGGAAACAGAGTAGCTGACACTGCTGGGATCTGGGTGCAGAGCTTTTCGGGTACACTGGCCAGGCCATCAGCACATACCAATGAAGGGGGTTGAGTGTCTTAAGACACGCCCTGAATTATTAACAGGCATTTTATGCAGTTAACTTTGGGCTGTTTCTTTCTGGTGTATAACCTTTTAAATTGTTGGAAAATTTATGCAAAGATTTCTGTCTCAAGCAGTAGCTCTTGAAAAGAGAGAGGGGGCCACAAGTTGTTTGTCTGGTCCCTCGCGTCGAACTCACAATCTAAATATTTGCTATATGAATTAAAGACCAGTGGCACAATTCTTGGGTGTTTTGTTGTGTTGTGCGCTGTTTGTTTGGACAATGCATTATCAGCAGCGAACCAATAAATTGACTTTAAATCACAGCCAAGTGCTCAAAGGGTGCCCTAAAGGGGGAACATTTGTGATAGGGGTTATAAATTATGCATGGTATTAAATGTCGAGGTTAGCTATTGGCCACTCAGAGCTCAGAATTTAATTACCCTCAATTCATCAAGTGGAAAAATATTTGCATTTGCTGCGCAAAGTATAAATCATAAAGAATTCAAGAAATAGCATTTGTTGATAACACTTATCAGAAGCAGCTGACACAAAGCTCTTTGCAGTTTAACAAGCACTGCAACGAGCTACAAATGGGCTTGTCCATCTGTCGGATACTCGCACAATTATAGTTAGTTCAACATGTGTTTTTATAGACCCCCTCCCACCCGATGGAGGGCAGGATAAACAAGTCAAGTACGAATAAAAACCAAACGAACTAGTTTTGTGGGTGGGTGGCTTGGCTGGTGGTGCTGGTAGTTAACAGTAGAAATACCATTTCATGCGGGTCAGACAAGTTGTTGTTGGGGCTGTGGTTCTTGTTGGGTGTTGGGTGTTTGACGCGTAGCGAATGTCAAGAGCAAAAGCAATGGCGATAACTCGTAAGGATAAACTGAGCTAAAACAATTGGCCAAAAGGTAAATTGAAATGAGAGCGAACAAAATATATTCAAATATATATATATTTAAATATATGTCAGATATTCAGCTAACCAATAGGGGATGTTGTTCCACATTTTCTAATGATACTAATGGCCCAGACAGTTCTGGTTAGTGTTAATTGGAAACGTATGCTCAGGCTGCAGGTAGATAGTATATAGCGCAGTGGTATTTATACACATATATTCCTGCCACATCCATTTCAGCATATGCAAACAACCTGCAAATACATCCCTTTGGTACAGCCACGTGAAAGATTTTGGTGTTCTGATAAATGTGGGAAAACGTGCAGAAGTTTGCAACAAGCAATCCGCTTGAGGTCAGGATACTCAGGAGAGCATTCGAGGGTGGAGTGGGTGGAGGAGAGGTAGGTCTATGGTATGAGGTAGGTCGTATAAAATTCAAATATGCTGTGGCTGCTGTTTGTGAACTGGTTAAGCCAAAAGCTTTCCGCGGATAGAGAGGAGCAGTAAAGCCGAAACTTGATGATCCAAACAAATGAAAAAGCGTCGCGTTGCAGAAGATTATGAAAAAGTTGCAGTCAACCTAACAAATTTGCTAATTGGTACACTTATCGCTCGTCTGCAACGTGTTTGAGTTGTGCAGATAAAAAGACAAACTTCAACAGATAATAGCTGAGCAAATGCGTAAAACTATTCTGTCTCTCTTAGATAAATAGTTTAAAAAGTAGCTACGAGTTATTTTCAAATTGTCAAAGTTTAAATGCACTTAAAATATGTACAATATATTTATATATACACAAAAAATATGTGGTTATCATAAGGTGTGAGTTAAATTGTCAAGATAAAATAATATGTTTTTCTGGACACCTTTTTTTTTTTGTTAATTATAACACTCTATGCTTAAAAACAAACAAAATAAGAGTGCAAATAATCAAATTTAATCATATAAAATTTTATCTATGCCGCTCCCGAAAAACAAACATTTTTATGGACTCGATTCCCATAAAACAAAAATATTCTTAATTATGAATCATACGCAAAAATTATATATATGTTTTGCGGGAAAAATTCCCATGAAGTAAAATATTGTGACTTATGAATCATAATTAAAAATTATATAGGTTTCTCGATTACTCTTTTGTAATTATAACAAGTCTACAAAAACAAAGCAAATGCTCAAAGGCTGTGGATTAAAACTTAGATTAGACAAGCTATCTATGCATTTTTGTAGTACCATCAATATATAAATATTAAGATAGCAAATGTGAAAGCTTCTCAACACATTTCCTTCACACGTTCGATATCTCGAGTCTTCTAATCACTGGCTAAGCATCAACAGCGAAAAGCTCTTCAAAACTGAGAAGCTTCGTGTTCATAGCAACTGATAAGCGTTTGGTATATATATGGTATAGTATATATTGATTGGTTTCAAGTATCATTAATTAAGCACACATAAATTTGAAGTGCCAAAACAATGCCTTGAATGAAATTTGCATACATTTTGTTGTTTTTCGATTTTGTTTTCCGCTCAACCTGCCTTTGTTTTTTGAATTTGTGCAAAAATGAAAACAAAATTGGGCAAACAGTCCGTGCCGAGCGGTGCCATAATCACATATCAATTTCAACGCTTTCTCTGCGGTTGCATGTGCAAAATTTATATGCGGCCCAGCAAAAAATAAATAAAAGAATCTGACCGAGGTCAGAACCGCATCTGCTATGACCCACAACACCCAGAGAGACAATAACAATGCTACAACAAATGTGCAAAATAACAAAACCAATAGTCCACTTACACACACACACACACAGACACGCAGGAAATGGTGTTGGGATGTCCTCTTTAACACACATTTTGTGTTGTGCTGCAGACCGAATGGCGCCAATAAAACTTTACTCAAAAAAAAACAAACAAAAAATTTTGTACAGGAAAACGACTTTAGTTACTGTTTTTGGGGGACAAGGCTGTCAATATGTGCGGAAAGCAGCAGCAGCCGAAAATGGCAACAAGAACGTGCCCCAAGCAGACTTATGACAGACACACACTGCAGTAGGAGAATGGGGAAAAGGGGGACGAGGAGTGTGCCAAATTTCTTCAATGCAATAAAATGTTAAATTTGATTTTGTTGCATTTGCCTTTCTGACTTTAATCAGCACTCGGCGAGTGCAAAGCAAGTGAGAATTGAGTGGCAAGGTGGAATGTGAGAGAAACAACAACAAATAAAGTGCCTTCTGTGTGGCATGTGTATCAATTGACGTTGACATTTAAAGAGGGTGTGCGACCCTCGCCCCTCGCATTGTCAGATAAAAACTTTTTTTTTCAACATTTTTTACTGTCTTGGTTTGTTTGCATTCTTCTTCTTCTCTCCCATTTACATAGGCAAGCCAAACAAAAGCTACTCTTTGTGCCTCTCTCTCTCTCTCTCTCTCTCATTCTATATCCATATATTTTGTTGTGTATGGCCTCGTCGCTCTTCCTTCCTCTTATCCTTCAAATAGCAGGGAATTTTATCATTTCGTATGCAAATCGCGTTTGCCATAAAAAAGGAACATGTTATTGTTAGTCCTCAGAGTTGTTAGCAATTTTATTCTTGACTCTTCCCATTGTTGCGTTTGGGGACCAAAATGTCTCACCTGAGACAATCAGCTGATAAAGCTGCCACACACACAAACACACACACACAATTGTGCGGTCAAGGGGTCACAAGATGATTCACAGCTGACTGCTTCTTTCACTTGAGACATTAATATTATTGGCAAAATTGGCAATTCAAGCGAGTCGCACGGTTTTTGTGTCACTACAGAGAGACAGAGAGCGTGTGTAGATAATCGCCTCTTAAAGCCGACTAATGTTCTCTCACTGTCTATTTAATTAATTGCTTTCACACAGCAACAAACTGTGTTTCATTTCCCATCGTTTCCTACTGACAGATATACAAAATGATAAACAATTATTGACAGCTGTTGTGGCTCTGTTAAGGAGGAGGGAGGGTGACGGCTCACAGGTGCTTGATTCGAACAATGTGTACTTATTACACATACAAGCACAAATGTAATTTAACATTACCTGTACATGTGACTCATTGAGAGCGAACTTCAGCTGAAGTTCTAGGCAGGGAGAGGACAGAGAGAGAGAGAGAGAGTGGGAGATTTGGACAGGCAGCAAATATGTTCGTTCAGAGAGCGGCTGCTGTGCGGAAAAGTAAGCAAGGTAAAACAAAAACAAAGAAAAGAAACAGCAAACAAAAAGGGCTGCCAATAAGAAAGCTTAGAATAACAAAGTAGAATGTAAACTATGTATTTATGCACAAGTGTGTATGTGTATGTATGTATATATATATATATATAAAATTGTATTTGTGTTTTTTGTTTCTGTTGCCGCATAAATTTTAATAAGTTAAAAAAAAATGCCCACACGCGTTAACCAACTCAGGCATATATAACATATGCTATATATATTTGTATTTATGTATTTATGTTATTTGCTATGCTGCTCAATTCGTATAAGAATAAGTGTGTATATTTTTATAAATTCCACATTGCCACCGGCAGCTGGCATTTTCCCTCCCGGAGCGACACACGCATACACAAATACATACATATATATATATATACTTAGTTGGAGGACGTTCCACTTACCCGCCTTGCAAATGACGTCGACGTCGGCGTTAAGCGCAGTCCGCAGCGCTCAAACTGACGCACATTGGAGCGGCCCTGGAGCATGTTGCGAATGCTCAGAATGACAGCGCCGTGTTTGGACATTCTGCTGATGAAGTGCGGATTAGCTGCTTGAGTCGTAGCTGGAGCTGGAGCTGAAGTTGGTGGCAAAAACACACGCGAACTTGCCGAACGCGAGAGCACAGCAACAACAACAACAACAACGGCAAGAAAAACAATTCGCTACTTGTGAATCACAGCTGCGAAAGACAATAAAACAAGCCGGCCAATGAGTAATGAGTATGTTGCACTTGTTACTGTTAAGGTTGTTGTTGCTGTTGTTGTTGTTATTTTGCTCAGCTGACAAAAGCAAAGCAAACACTGCCTAAAATCTCATTTTTTATTGGTTGTCAACAATATCACAGAAAATTCGAATTTCTTGTCGTTCTTCGTATGTGCCGTGAGACGAGCTTCTATGCTTAATTTTGCTAACCGAAATTATGACAAATCAAATATGTTGGTGAAAATTACGCGAAAAATTAAAACAAGCGAATTTAGTCTAAATTTATTTGAATTTTGACTTGAAACAATTACACATTTTGCTGCTGCCGAAACGAAAAACGAAATGAAATGAAATGAAATGTAACATTTAAGTTGCTTGTGCTTAAGCAAAATGCAACAGTGTCAACAACAACAGTAACAACAACAGCAACGGCGGCGCCAAAAAATAAAATAAAAGGTGGAAAGACGAGAATGGGATGAGAATGCGCAAAGGTTAAAAAAGAGATTTACCGGTTGTTGTTGTTTGCTAAACTTCACTGGGGTTCTCTTTTTACGCGCGGCACATGTTAAACACTGCTAAAAACACAGATGTTTTTTTTCTTTTTTTTTGCTTTTCTTTTCTCTCTTTACATATACAATTTTGTATGTAATTTGATGAAGCTGTTAAGCGGCGTCGTTTCCAATCAGACTTTGCTCTCGGCTTGAGTTGCACTTGCGAATGAGACAAATACACAAATGTGAGATGGGCGGCGGATTTTCGCTTCACTTCATAGATTTATTTGATTTATTAGAGAGTTCTAAATATAAAGCTTAATGTCTAAAGGAAAGCAGCCGCAACACGCCGAACGCCGAACACCGAACCGCGCGCGATTAAGTTTGATAACAGACTGCTGTTAACATTCACTCGTGCTGTTAGAACCCCTTTTGGCGCAAACGCATGCAGGCAGTTCGAAAATTCGAAATCAGCTGTGCTGTCTGGGCTGCTAATCCACCAGGGCTAGTATGCAGGCACAATTTTCGAAGAGCATATTGTAAGCACATACTTTCAAAGCTATATAAGTAAATCTGTATAGCCTACAACAAAAATATGAATATATGTGATATGCACTTTAAATTAAACATTCAAAATGTTATGTAGCAGAGAACTTGAGCATAACATGTAGTTAGGTGAGCAAACTGTTAACACGTCGTTAAGTGAGTGGGTTCGTTGAGTTGATACTTTCGTTGAATGAGAACTCTCGTGTCGCAAAATATGGCAGCTCTATGGGATTATTCAAGACACACACCATGATTGGTGTACTAGCTGCATTCAACGAAATTTCGAATAAAAAATCATTGGTCGAGTGCATTTAAGTTTTTCGCTTTTATTATTGTCGCATTACGAATCTAAACTTTAACTAGTTTATATATATATGTCCAACTATACAATATAACTATATACTATATATGTAGAGCTTTGCTTAGTGCTTAGTGTAAACATACATTTAAATTAGAAGGTTTCATTTTTAAGCATTTTTCTCTTCGTTCGCTGCGGTTTTTTTGTTTTCTATTGTTTTATCGTTTTACACATAAAAACATTTATCATACACTTAATACAAATAGCAGCCTTATTCATATATTTCTATATATTAAATATATGTAACATATTTATAGCACTCGCAACTGCAAAAAGAAAAAATACAAAAAAAAAAAAAACAGGCTTTACAGTTTTGGCATGGATTGAGAAAGGCTAATTAAATATTCAACTGAAAATACAATCAGATTATAATATTAATTAATATGATAGTTATTGCTGCAATTGCGTGGAGTAGTTTTTAGTAACACACAAAATGAATTTTACATAACAGTTATTTTTTTCTCTCGAGGTAAAAACGAAAATGAATCAAGTCGAAAGCTAATTTGTCACCAGTGTCAAAATGGACATGCATAATAATAATAATAATAATTGGCTGTGATTTTTATTGCTTTTTTTCTCTCATTAAATATTGTAATTTCTCGTTTTTCGTTTCTTTTTAACATTTAAACAACTAACAAAGCGCCTGAATGCATTTACGCATTTATTTATGCATTTATTTATTATGCTTGCCCCATATATTATAAAGCACACGCACACACACATCCACATACATCCACAAATACATACATCCACAAACACATATTTTGTAACATGCCATTATATTATTTACACAATATTATCCTCACACACACACAGACACACGCATGCACACGTTAGTTAACCGTTTTTGTATTCAGCTGACAACTGCAGCGACATCATTAAACAGCTGCAACAACAAAAAGAACAACAACAAAAACCACAAACAAATAAGATTTATGCATGTTCAAAGCTGCTAATTATGTTCAAATGTGTGTGTTTTCCTCTTTTCAATTTCATTTTTGCTTCGGCTTTTGCTTTTGTTCCATTGCCATTTAACTGTGCATGTTAACGTTGACGTTGACGCTGACGCTGACGTCGCTGCCTGCTGCTGTCATTTATTCTGTTGCTGCTGCTGCTGCTGCTGCCAGTTGCACTGCTTGCTTTACTGCTTGGCATAGTTTGAGGTGCTGTTGTTGTCGCTGTCGCTGTCAACGTCGCTGCTGCTGTCGCCGCCAATTGCAGGCAATACATTTGTTTCCTGAGTTTCGCACGTAATTTGCGATATTTGCTGTTGCCGATGCCAATCCCAATGCCAATTCCAATGGCTACGCCCCCAAACAGCTGCTATCACGTGCCCGTTGACAAATCATCCTTGAGCCATTGCGGTATTGGACGCGAGCCGAGCTTCTTCAGCAGCTTCACCAGCGCCGTATTGTGATTCATATAATATCTGCAAGAGCGAGAGAGAGAGAGAGAGAGAGAGAGAGAGAGAGAGAAATAAGTTTGGTTATGTTGAAAATGAATATGAAATTCAAATTTGACATTTGCGTTTTGAAGGGTTTCATTCAAATTGGCTTCGGCTGCTTTGCTTTCGATTGAATGCGTCTGAAAATTGCACATTTCGTATGAAATTCTGGTAAATATTTGTGTGAGCAAACTCTAGCAGCCTTTTACTTATTTTAACTTGTTAATTATAGCTCTTTTTGCTCTGCTACCTTTATTAGAAACACTCTTAATGCCTATTAGTGCTTCTCGTTAAATTATTGTTTAATTTTTAATTAAGCAAAACTGTTCACTTTTTGAAAGATGCTTGAGTGGTTTATTGCTGCATCCTCTTGCAGCAGCATAATAAACTTGCCTAAGCTGCTTCCAACTGTGGCAGCAGCCGTTGCTAGCATCAAGTTGCTTTTCATATTTGCTGGTCCATATTCATACGCATATCACCCGCATCCTCCGCCCCCAACCATCCGCAACTGTTCATTTCGATGTCTAATAAAACAGGCTCGTTTAACTCGAAATGTAAAACGGGGCTGACTGACTACTACTACTACTAACCGACGCAACTGACAGCTGCCAGCCCCACCCTATTTCCATATCCATATATATTTTTTTTCCATTCCCATTCGAAAATCGTAGTACAGCAAAGTGCACTTGCCACGGCCACAAAATGCCACACGATGCCAAGCAACCACCCACCCACCACAAGCCTGCCTGCCTGCCTGCCCGCTTCTCTCCAGTCTCTACCCCTTGTTGTAGCTCAAATTCAGCACAATTCACACAACTATTCTATCTGCCGTGTGGCACACAAACACATACACACACCCACACAGACACACACTTGTGTGTTCATTAATCCTTCACTCAAAGCATCGTTCCGTTGTCGACGTCGTCATCTGTCTGTCGCCCCAAAACCAACCCAAATCACTCATACGACCCGTTTTTTTCTTTCATTTTCTTTTTTTTCTTCTTTTGAGTTGGATGGATTTGGATTTTGGTGCTGTTGTTTCTGTTGCTGTATTTTTTGTGTCTGTCGTGGCAGTAGTTTTACTTACCGCTGCAACAGCTTGGCACTGCGCTCATCCATTTGAGGATATTGTCGCCCCTTGGACTTGCCGAGGCATTTATTGCGCTTCTCGCTGACAGCCTGACAGTAGAAGCCCTTCTTCACATCGTAGCGAAGGTGATTCGAATAGTCGAGCAGTGGTTGGATTTTCAGGAAGCGCTGCAGCTCGTTCATCACATCGATGGGATTCAGCCGCAATTGGTCGCCATCGATGATATGCAGCTGCTGGGCTGGATAGTAAGCCAGCCAGTGCTCCAAATGCTGTGCATATTTACCCGGATTCAAGCACCTATTCCTCAAATCCTTCAATGCACGCGGCGCCGAATCGCTAGCCGTGATGACCTATGCGAATGGAAACAAAAAATGAATAAAACAAACACACAAATGTCAAAAGTTAGAGAAACACACCAGAAACGAATCCAATCTACATTTGAAAAGTTGCGTCGAGTCTGCGGAGCTTAAAAGCATGATTTGGGGCACAAAGAACAACGAGACAAACACGTGTTCAGCTGCAGGTGCAACTAAATATGCTGCAATTTGGCATTGAGCTAAATGCACAATGAATGCAATTTTGAAAAAAGAAAAGGAATCTGTATGCAAATCGATGCATCGACAAGTTGTTTATTAAAGGCTCACCACTTGCTGCCACAAGTGTGGATTGGGGGTGTGGGGGGTGTGGTGGTGGCATGCAATTCAAAATGTGCTTTCATTTTTGCAATTGCTGCATGGAATGAATGCCGTCAACAGCAACCAGTTTTAAGAGCTATTAAACACAGTACATATATCTGAATGTGGTTGTCAAGTTGATGGATTGAATAATCTGTTTTTTGTTATACTTTTTTGTTTTTTGTCTTTGCTCTAAGTGAATTCGGTTGGATTGGACAGTTCATTAGATTTGTAATTCAGTTGCAGTTGCAGTTGCTGATTGACTAATGAATTGAACACAAATTGTGCCAAAAGCATAGATAACAATTCTCGACAAACTGTTTAAAGTTGGCAATAAGTGTGAATGGAAAATACGAGTAATTCCAAGTAAAGCTTGAATAAAATGGGATTATGTTTGGATTCGTAGAAAGTCTAGAAAGCTTAAGCAAAAATCAGATTATTATTAAATTTCGCACAGCAACAGATAGACAGAGGAACACGACACATATCGACTCGACTGATCAAGAATATATATACTTTATACTTCTAAACCGATAACAGTTTAGCACATTTCACTCACCTGATAGAAACTGTAGTTGTTGGCAATGACATCGCCATGAGCGCGCTGATGCTGATACCAGGAATAGGCACGCTTCGCTGGCGATATCAGTATGGTGACGATTTTGGCATGGGGGAGCAGGGCATGAGCCCGCTTTGGCACCGCCTCGCCATCGAAATAGGTGGCGCTCTTCTCGAACATGTAGCGCGGGGAGCCCACTGTGGTTGGCATCGGGGAGCTGGTGTTGGGCAGCGTGTCCGCTGGAAAGAAGTCCATGTACCAGTCGAGGCCACGATAGTAGTTGTTGCCATTGAAGAACTGCACCTCCTCGAAGGTGTCGGGACTGGGAATATTGCTGGCAATGCTGCCGTGCATGGAGAGGAATGTGTAGAGGGCGGTGGTGCCCGTTTTCTGTGGCCCGATCACCAGGAATTTGGGCAGAGAGTCACAGTTCTTGTTCTTGGACCAGATCTTCCTGTGACGCAGATCGTCACAGGGATTGCCCCAGACGGGATCAACCTCCTCAGGATGTAGGCGAAAGTACATTTCGGCCAATTGAATGGGCGGTGCGGAGGCCAGCTTCAGATTGGTCCAGCACTGCAGGAACTTGATGACCGATTGGAATGTGTACAGCGCCAGGCGATCGGAGCCATAGTTGGACATGTGCGTCATAAATATGTTGATGGGATTATAGACGATAGTCTGGAACAGTTCGCCGCCCTGTATCGACTCATCCAGTTTGTCCCGTCCGCCCGGATAGCGATCTATATACATCGTATGGGTAAATAGGCCACATGTCTGCCTGGGCAGTACCATAATGTTCCGATGGATGAAGCCATGACGCAGGCGTGCGGGTCGCAAATGTGGATACTCCTCCGTCGAGGTGACCTTCACGTTCCACACCTGCTTCCAGGCAAGATACAGCAGCTCATGGGCCGGATAGACACCCGAGTGATGCGGCGATATGGAATACCCCGAATTGGTGGGTATATTATGCTCCTTGGCGAAGGCAAAATTTAGCTGCATCTCGGCGGTGAGCATGGTGAGATTGTCGTACAGATGCGGCTGCTGGTGCTTCCACATGTGCGAGAACCAGTTGAACTCCTGCACATTCTGCAGCAGAAAATCATCGCCCAGATTCTCCTCGCGAGTGCCATGGTGATAATACTTGCCGGAGAAGCCCAAATTGAAACGGAAACCGGGCACCATGCCGGCAATAATCTTCTGTGTGGCAATCAGAGCACGCACATCGTCCGGCCGCAGGCGCGTGCTCTTCTCACCCACAAAGATGTCGTCAATGTCCACCAGGATCATGCGCTCCAAACTGAGACTCAGCTGACCATGACTGAGATAGCTGAGCGCATCCAGAAAGACCAAACGATGCAACCAAAAGCGCAGACTGCTGCCAAACAACACACGCTGTATGCCATCCAGTTGACCCCGATCCTGAAGCACTGTGGTCAGTGGCAGCTGCACCTGGCCCACACTATCCGCTGGATACTCCTGCGTGTTGCGCTGTGCCCACTCCACCGGCTCATAGGTGCTGTGATTGTGCTGGAATACGGCCCAATCATCGCCGGGCAAGGCACCCCAAGCCGTTTCCCCGGCACGCGTCAGTCGCAGCACCGACGAGCCGGGATTGAGACTGGCATCTCGCAGTCGCAGATTGGTGTGCACGAAGAGCGGAAAGTCGCGCAGCTGGGCACCGACAAGGGTCTCCTCGCTGGGACTGACAAAGCCCACAATGCCCACGGAGTACTCGCGACAGTATTTGTCCAGCAGTTCACGATTCCACTTGTCCATATTGAGGTACTTGTCCAGATTCTCAAAGACAATTACGCCATAGCGACCCTTGTCCAGATTTGTCAGCACCGGCAAACTTTTGCCAGCTACTTCGATTTTGTATCTGCAAATGGCAAAAGACAAGTTCAAGTTTTAGATAACAGCAAAAATGCTTGATAAACTTGAGATGCACAAATGTATGTCTCTGAGTGTGTGTGTGTGTGTGTGAGTGTGTGTGTGTATACAGCAAACTAACATGACAATCAGAAGTGAGAGAAAGGGAAACTCAATCTGCTGGAATTTGTTGGATCAACTCTGTCAGAAGCTGTCAAAAGCAGGGACGCCATAGAAGGTTGCCCAGCTGTGCTTCAAGACTGACTCCAATACAAAGACAAGAGATGGAGATGGAAAGGGAAAGGGAGAGAGAAAGTGTAAAATGTTGCCAGTCAGTGTTGCCTTTGACACCAGCTGTCAAAAGCTGTTTGCTACTGCACGCAACCCGCAGAGCGGCAATCAAGTCGCATTTGAGCCATGAATATGTGAATATGTGAAAGTGTCTGTTTGAAACTCCACAAAAGCAAATAAAAATACATAGAATATATATTACAAGCAAATCGATCAGCAAAATAAATAATAAAATGTTTGTAAGTGCTGTACATCTAAATAAATATTCCAAGCATCATAATCGATTAAGTACTTTGGGCAAATATTTGCATTGATTTCAAGGCATTCACAAAAATTATATTCATAAATATTGCACTCATTCACAATAATTCTCAATTACTGGTATACCCTAAGAAAAGATGAACACATTTCGAATTTATTTAGAACTCTGTAAGATATAATATGTAATGTGCCTTGACATCAATAGCAAAAAAATAGAAGTTATTCATTTATTGTGCAAGTATTGTCTGGCTTGCTTGCAGGGTATCTGCCAGTCGCTCACTTGTTTTAGTTCATTGGCATTTACATATTGCATTGAATGGAGAAAAAAAAACTCAACAATAATTGCATTGCACATTTTCGGCAAACAACCGACAGACATAAAATAAATATACAAATAATGTGAATTTTCAATTTTATTATTTATCCACCTGTATCCTCTTTATGTGTCACATGCGACCTGGCTAAAACCGCCACATTTGGTCAATGTGCTGATCTGCAATTCCACGTAAAATCCCAAATGCATTCCCAAACCCGTCTGCTTAATTTGGCTCTGGGCCACGTTTTGGTTTTGCGTACATATTAAAATATTTCCAGTGATATGGAAATTCCAATTGATTGAATAGCTCTTTGTGTGTGTGTGTGTGTAGTTGATACTTTTTAGTCCTGGTTATGGTATACCTGGCCAGAGCTGAACAAGCCAGCTATCTAAAGCTTAACCTGTATTCTATATGCCACAGCTTGATTTCACCTTAAAGCTAAACAGCCGTCTACCAAAAAAAAAAGTGAAGAGCTAAAAAACTTGGCCACTTTATGGAATATGCGAAACCACGTAAAAATCCCAGTAAAACCGTAAAAACATATCGACTGAAGGGTTAGGGGCACAGCGAATGGGGAATGACGGTGATGGCTGACATTGCTTGAAACCCGCTGCGGGTTCATGTTGTAAACATTTTTTGTTCTGAATTCTCAAAAAAAAATTTGTGTATTATTTTTTTTTTTTTTTGGTTTATTGCTTGTATTTTATTTGGGCGAGCGCATTCGGCGAAGCATATTAAAATATTTGCAGGTGGCCCGATGTTCGATGTGCGCGACTCTGCATAAAAAGTCATAAGGCGAAACATTTTATGCTCATCTATATGTATATGCTTCTGTGGGTGGCTGTGTGGTTGGCTCTGCGTGTGGGTGTGACACATTATTGATAGTTTTTACGTACGATGGGCTTAACGAAAAAAAAAAAAGAAGTAAGGGATAAAAAAAAAGAAGAGCGGAATGACTTCTCTCCACCACCCGTAGAGTAAACTATATTTGACTGGATTGGGGAGGGATGGGAGCTGGAGGTGAGTCTGGTGGTACTGTCGGTTATGGCTGAATGAAAAATGCGAACAGCGCTGACATACTGCATGCATTGCATATTTTATGGCGCGTCAACACGAGACCATGTGTCACATGGCAAAGGAACCCAGCCGGACCGGAGCTCATCGGCAGATTCACCGTTCAAAACGGGGCGTTTGTCCAACGGGATATTGAAAAATCACACGCTGAGCGCTCGCCACGCAAAGAAAAATAATGAAAAATTAACTGAAGCGCGCCGGGATTCGGATAGACCCAAATAGAAATACACTAGATGAATGCACCGACGACATAATCAATTTATATTGCTATACAGGGTTAAACGTAAATTAACTTCTATAATAAATTGAATATGGAGCACATATTCGCATGGGTTGCTCTTAATAGGTACTCCATAAATTAAATGGAATTACCATATTGAGCGAGAGTATATCGATAAATGTTTATATGTTGCTTTATTTCAGCTTATAAATATTTATCAAAACTCTATCGAAAGCACAGAATGAATTAATTATTGCATTGCACGATATTTTACCATTTAAAATTGTCTGGCACATAATTATATAGTCCTCCACAACAAGTATGAAAGCTTAATGAAAATATTCAACAATTTCTTCTATTTACATTTTCATTGACTCTCTCTCTCTCTCTCTGTCATGTTACTAACTTAATTACAAACTCATTGGTGTCCTTTTTATTAGAGTATTAAAAATATTTTGCTTGCATGCTTTTAAGGTGGTGGCACTTTAAACGTTGCCTCGTTAGCCAGCACCAGCAACATTAATTAAAACGTTTTATTAACAGTAAATGTTTGTTTAATTAACTATAAAATGACACTTGCCGTTAGCTGTCTCTGTATCTCCCTCTCTCTCTCTCTCTATATATATATCTCTCTCTATCGCTTTCTGTTTATGCTTCTCGCACTCTGCTTATCTTACACTCTTTTTTTTTTTTTGGGTGTGTTAAAACTTGAAATTTAATTGCCTGACGAGATAAACTGAACAGGCAAAGAAACAGAGCGAAAGAGAGAGAGTCAGAGACCGGATATGAATGTGAAAAAGAGACAAGCTGAGAAGATTTCAGAATGTGTTGGAACTTAATTTACAGGCCCGCAGCGGATTTGTTTTAAAAACCCATTAACGAGTATTACTTGCAAGTAAATAAATGTTGTGTTTTTTTTTGAAGCAAATGTGTATGTGTTTGTGTGTGTGTGTGTCTGTTTGTGTGTGCGTGTCGTGTGTGCTGTGCTGTGGAGCTCCCGCTCATTTGTTTGCATTTGTACGAGGCGTTAAATTATCCTCAGGATGCACGTAAACCGGCAAATGCCGTCATGAGCTGCTTGTTTGTTGTTCGCTGCTGTTGTTGTTCCAGTTGTTGCAGCAGTTATTTTCTGTTGTAGGTGTTGAACGTGTCACCTTCCTGCATACAACATTACCCCATTGCCATGCCCATGCCCCAACGCTACCTCTGCCCCTGTCTCTGTCTGCAGTTCACAGTCTCGCTCGCTGACTGTCGCTTATGCAGCGCATTAAATGAGCTTAGTTTTAGTTGACTTCCCACTGCCACTTTGGCTTACACTTTCTAGCCAACTGAGTGTCCCGCCCCATGGCCACAACTTCACAACCGCCCAGCTTCCCTGACCCCCTCCCCTCGATCTCTGTCTCCCAGTTTCGTTCCATTCATGTTGTAATTTCATTAGAGCGCTTTAGGGGCAAAGCTTCAGTTTGTTTGGCATCTTCGTTGGCTTGCCGCCTTGTTGATATTTGCGTCAGGAAATTAAGCTGCAGGGCTTGAGATGGAGAACGTTCTCGCTAATCGAAAAATCCGCAATATTTACTTTAGCTGACACAATGTCGTATCCTTAGCATAATGTCCTTGATGACTTTTCTTGCCACCAGCTTCAATGTGGCCAACGCAGCAGATTTGATCTTTGCCGCATAAACTGGTGCATCAAAAGCCTCAAATGCTGCCCATGAAACTTTGGCCCAAAAGTTCAGCTGATTAGCTGCGAGAAATGTCGCAATTAGCTTGAATATTTTGGCATAGTTCTTGGGAATATAGCGTAGTTCGAGCAACTTTGCTAATTGTCCGCACACACTTTTGGGGGTCACACGACACGTGTTGCAAATAGTTGTGAACACATCTGGCAGCTGCTGAGCCGCACAACTTTAACCTCAATAAATGTACCAAGCGAACATCAGCCAATTTCAACACGTAGCCGCAGGGGAAATCGATATAAATATGGTATTCAACTTTCGATAGGCTTCATTTTCATTTCAAGAAAGATACAATTGGGCATTGATTGCCTGATAAATACAAAAATGTGTGCGAGTTGCATCTCAAATAAAAAATCAATGCCGCTTTTATGTATAGTATTTGTCTCAATTATTTGTTGAAATGGCCAAGCAACAAACAAATCCTAATTAATTCTTGTAATTAAGCAATTTATAAGGCGCGAATGGAAACGCAGTAATGTCCGACAATTAGTATATTTTTGCTGGCGCACTGTTTGCCTATAAAACCAAAAATCAATGGCAACTTTTGTGTGTAGCCAGGTAAATGCCGTTTCACCTTTAAGCCACATTGTAGCCTTAGCTCGTAGCACGAATTAAGACATTTTGGCTATTAACATGGTATACAATTTCCCCCCTTTTGTTATTAAGCTTGGTTAATCAGTTCCTATTCCTGCTCACCCGCAATGCACTCCTTCCTTGCCACGTTTTATCCGTGGCAACTTTGCTGGCAATCTATATGTCATAAATAAAAGTAGACCCCCAAAGGCAGCTACATTTACTTTTGCCCAGGACACTAAACAATGTGAAAATTATACAACAAATGGCCATTATATGGGGATCGGCTGGTTTGGGGCGGCGTCTCGTCGCCTTCACATTTATATACATACACGGGAGAGAGTTGAAGAAGGAGCGCAGCCAGTCGTGGGCAATAAATGAGTTTAAACTAGAAAATTTATTATACGCGGCAAAACTACTTAAGTGAACGGCAGAACCCAAAGCATACATAGCAGTTAGGCAAGAAGGCAGGCAGGCAGGCAGGCAAGGCTGGCTGTCAGGCAAGCAGAAAGTCAGCCAGGACACGCAAAGGCAATGTCCTGGCATTGTGGCATCCCTAGGTTCGAGCTAGAGTCGCGACTTTGTGACTTCCCCACAGCGCCGCCTGCTTGGGCCAATATAATCACACAAGTCAAGGACGTGGGCGTGGGCAACTGGCGGGGCATAGGTAGAGGTATATAGAGGGGTTGAGTGGGGCAGACTGCCTGCTGCTTGAGTAATTCAATAAAATAACCAATTTGTTGAAAAATAACAACAAGCGGCAACAGCGCACAAAAGTCAGCCCAGCCAACTTGTCACACCGAACAAGGATGGGGCAAGGGTTCGCAGTCAACAAGGATGAGGCAACAATCTGAGAATAGCTGCGACAGCAACACAAGCTGCAGCAACAGTGGCAGTAGCAGCCAATGATGCTCCAACACGTACCGAGCACTAGAGCAAAAATATTTTTTATTTATACGACACACACACACACACACACACACAGACATATATATACATAAGTATGTGTGCACTGTATGGACTATATTGTATAGCCATATTTGCTAGAGTCGACCTTTAGCGCTACATTGTCGTTGCCACTGCGACATGCCACAGTGGAATAGAATGTACTTTTAGATAGCTGTCAATTTATTTATATATCAATATTATTAGTGATTGACTCAACGCTTTAAAGGCTGTGTGTGCTCACCTTATACTGAGTATAGTTTTCCAGATATAGAATAGATATTAATAAATAAATATTTTACAATTAATTGAACCAGAAACTTATTAAAAGGTTAGTCGAGCTTTTCTTCCACCCATCTACTTAGGCAGTTTGCTGGATTTGAAAAATAGAATCTGCTGTGCCACGGTGCCATAAAATGTGGCAGGTTAACTCCATTGACTTGTGAAATATTGAAAATAAAAATTTTCCGCGACATTATTAAAGTAAACATTGGCGCAAAAGGGTGTGATTATGACGAGCCAAGGAGTTCTGGCAGCTGCCATCGCGAAAGAAAGCCAGGATGAAGACAAGAGCAGGAAGGAAGGGGAGGCAGTAGCTGCCAGGCAGGCAACACAGCAGTCTGCAGACCAAGTCGCGTGTTGTTGCCATGGCAAGCATCCAATTGTGGTGGCTGTTTATGGCGTTTGCCATGTGTCTGTAAATTGACGTCAGCGCATAGAAGAAGCTACGGGGATGCGGTGTTGTAGGTGTAGTAGTTGTTATTGTTGTTTTTGGCTACTCCTGCTCCAGCTCCAGCTGCTGCTGCTGCTTTTCGCCATTTCGCGTTTTAAAAGTTTTAGGGGCTCCCAGTGGCGCAATCAGCGCCAAAACGGAACCCCAACCAAAGCATGAGCGAAGGTTGCCAGCGCCACAAAGCATGCTATTTTATTCAGACTAGGACACACACACACAAACACACACACACGTGCATGAGTGAGTGTGTGGGTGGGTGTGGCAAGAGCATGCAGCCCAATGATAACAAGGCTGCTGATGACTTCCGTGTGCTAAGTTGGCTGACTCCCGCTGCTGTTGCTACTGCTGCCGTTCCGGCTGCCGTTTGCCAGCTGAGTTGGCGCCAGCTGATTCGGCTCGGTTCGACTCACTGACTGATTTTATTAGCACTCCAGTACAAAGCCAAATCAAAAATTGAAAATAAGGTTAAGTAGCTATTACCCGCATAATGCGGAGTCAGCGTGTGGCATGCCAGCACTAGTAGACGCGGGCGTGGCTATGCCAATTTAATAAACGCACAACGACGACGCCTCTGTGTGTGTGTGTGTGTGTTTTTTTTTTATTCTATTTTGTTTTGTACTCTGGTATCGCGTAATTACGTTGGAAATTCCATTAGAATTTCACGGCGCATTAGATGCCAACATTGACAGCAGCAGCGGCAGCCAACTTGGCGTGTTAATTCTTTTTGGGCAACTTAAAGACCGGACAAAATGGTGGAGCCGAGGCTGCGTTATAGCCGGCCAAAGCCGACCTTTCGGGCGTAAAAACTTTGCAAAAGTTTTGCATACTTTTTGCAGCTGGCAGCCATTTTGCTGGGGGCAAAATGCCATTTGTCTGCGCTGCTCAAGCACAAAATTGCGTGGCATGAGGCAATGTCAGAGACAGAGAGAGAGAGAAAGAGAGAAGGAGAGACAGAAAGAGAGAGAAAATGGGCATAGTCGGGCAAAAGTTGGCAATCAATCAATTGAGTCAACATCAGGTTTTTGGCCAACAGCTAATTGAAGCAGTATGTAGAGAGACAGAGCGAGAGAGAGAGAGAAAGAGAGAGACAATGAGAGAAAGAGTTAGAGCTGGCAACTCTCGTAGGTAGATTCTAGCTCATATAAAAGTTACATCTATTGTATGACACACACACACACTCACACACACACACACACGCTTGATATTCAGCAAGTGAATTTTTCATGGCTAATTGAGTGGCAACTTGGGCGCAATTTGCTGGCAGCAGCGACACGCGTATGTGCAGCATAAATAATTGATAATTAAGTGGAGTCAATGCAGCACCTGCGCATAAAATATGACAATGCAGTCTGCGTTTGGACACAGCTCTGATTTCAGGCTGTTTCAGTAATGCATATACAACATACCACAGCCACTTCAGACAAATACACCACACACACACACAGCACACACACAGAGAGAGATACACTGAAGCCATCAACTATAATGAGATGGTAATGTTAATGAAATTTGTTAGCTGCTTTAGCAAAGTTTTGCTGGCAAGTCGTGGCATGTACTTGGCTCTGCAAGTCAAGTCAAGTGCTCTAATGAAGTCATTGATAAGCGCACAACAAGGCACACACACACACACACACACCACACACACACATACACACATAGACGTATGTAGTAGCACACACATGAGCGCACTGATTAGCTTTTGAAGCATCGAGTCAGTTGCATATATTCTGTTACAATGACAATGGTTGAGACAGAGATGGCGAGACATTTGTGTGGCGCAACTCCGCTTTTGCACCCTTCGACGCCCACACAACTAACTAACTGAGTGACTTTGTCTGTGACTCTAGCTATTTGTACTTGAAATCTCATTAGAGTTGAAGCACTTGCCTGACAGCTGCAGAGCAAGAAAAGCAACAGCAACAGCAGCAGCAGCAGCATGCAGCAGAATCGGCACATTCCCATCCTTGCTAGTTTGGCATAACGACGAAAATTTAATTATATAACACAAAGCAAAGCTCGAGCTGGGTTCACAGTGCCCAAGTATCCAAGAGCACCGAAAACATCAACAAGAGCCAACGGCAAATTGAAAATTCTTTTGGCCTTTTGACTTTTGTAACCTCCTTCCGGCCACAAGGAATCCAGTCAAAGCGGGCAATAAGATCAGCTACAATTTAGCTTACCTAGTTTTACCTTATAACCGCAATTTGCACACGTGCCCTTAATTTCTCATGTTCAACTGGAGAGTGTGAACGTAACGAAGAAAAAAAACATATGTGTACTGTATAAAAATAAAATAAAATGTTATTGAAAAGTTGGTAAAGAAACCTGACGCTATCCGCCACACCTTTCATCCTCTTCAACTGCCATCGATGTGGTTGTTGCTGCTGCTGCTGCTGATGCTGCCCACTCGTGTTTTATAATTGCGGTTTTGCAGGAGGCTGCATCCTGCGGTCATTGTGGCCAGGATACACAAAGCATGCCATGGCAAAAGAATTGCTTTTTGTGCCTGTCAGGCAAAAGGCAGCCAGCGCACAAGTGTGAGTAACTACAAAGGGGAGTAAGCGAACGGGGATGCTGAATGGTGATGGCGATGACCATGGGAATGACGATGGAGATGGGGCTGCTGAGTGTCATAATTGGAATAATGGTGCAGAACGAAGCTTACATGCTCTGAACAATGGGATTACAAATAGTTAAGCTTCACTTCTCCTTTTGACAGTGTCCAAACAGAAGTAATCACACATAATCACAGCTTGCTCAACATGCCAAGCTTATTATAACAACGGTTTCAGCTCAGTTTGTTGAAATACGATTAATTAGAAAAGTAACCGAATGCTTTTCAAAGTAATTTATATGAATTCATGTCGGACTTGCATAAGAAATGCTCTTTAAAATATGCAGTTCATATTTTAAATTGGGTTTCTGCAATAAAATTAGGATTAAAAGCAATTGAAAATTGGAATTTTGAAAGCACTTTATATGCGAGAGAAACACTCAAGCCATAAACAATGATTTTAAGATAAAATCTAGCTCAAATGCCTCCCTCGGATAGAGTATAAAATATTAGGCTAGCACCACTGATGCAGGTAAAATGTGAAGATAGAAAAAGAGGATGCTAAGAGTGGCGCTGGCGGCGGGTGAAGAACACTCGACCACAAAAGCATAAGTTGCCAATTAAACTGGAATCCTTAGCTTGCTGCAGCTCGCCAGTCGCCAGTCGCCAACAGACAGCAGACGGTCAGAGAGCTGCATTAATTTCATAACCTGCCTTTTTATGGCCAGCTGCCCAAATTGGGTCAACATTGACAATAGCCAGAGCGGGAGACAGACAGAGGGTGAGAGAGAGACAGCGAGACGGGGGGGAGGAAGCGAGTGAGCTGATATATATGGCAGCTTGGCTGGCTGGTTGGCTGACTGGCATCCTGCCCCAACAAGGACAGCCGCTTGGGCAACTTGGCACTTGGCTGCATTCACAATTCATTTCTGGTGTCGGTTACGCTGGCACTTCCGTTTGCAGTTACTTTGCGCGTAATAATTGCATCGTTGCCTTTTGCAATTATGCAAATTTGTCGGATATAATTGTCTATGGTTCCTCTTTAAGGCAACTTACTTGATTCGATTGTATACGAGCAGCTCGGCAATGTCCCGCCCCAGACCCGAATACGTTGTCTCCACAAAAACCAGCACCTTGGGATCGATGCGTAGACGCGCCTCCGACCGATGATCTGGTGCTGGCGATGCATCCCTTATGTGTTTCCCAGCTGCGTTCATCATACGACAGTTGACAATGGGCGCCGGATGCGTATCGCGCTGTATGAGGCTGTAAAAGAAAGTCAGTAATGTGAGTAATTGAGTTATCCTGAGAAGTATGCTATACATAAATGCGTTCAGCTTAAACATGAAATAGCTGGAAAAGTATGAGATTTATTAAAGTCAAATTTAAATTACTCCAAGATGAAATATATGTTGAATGCCTCAAGCTACAAGGGAAAACTAAGAATTTCCACAACATTTACTTGCAAATATAAGCCAAAGGCTGCCACACACACATTATGTGGCGATAAGGAAGAAAAAAAGAAATAAACCCATTGAAAAGCATAAGACAAACTTCGCGGCATTCAGTTCTTGTATTTACTGAGGCAAGGAATCGGCAAAATATGCCACAACCGCAAACGTAAGAAGCCGCAACAGCAGAAGCAGCAGCAGCAGCAGCAACGGCATGAACAAGACACAAATAATTTGTGCCACGTTGCTCTTGCAGGCAGTCAGCCAAATTGAAAGCCGCAGCAACGTTGCGTATGCGCAATATGCAAAACTGCGACAAAGAAACAAAAGCAGCTGCTGCTGCTGCTGTTGCTGTTGCTACTGCTGCTGCCAATACAATGAGCCAAGCCAGCAATGTTACTGTTGTTACTCCTTTTGTTGTTCTTGGCTGCTGCAGCTGTTGTTGTTCTTGTAGCGGCTGCTGTTGTGTCATATCGTTCATATCTTCATTTGCATTGTTTTCGCTGCGTTGTTCGCTTTGTGGTACCAATGCGGCTCATTAGCAAGCCAGCAACAACAGCAACAACAACGGCAACAACAGCAAACTGCCATCTGAGTTGAGTTGTCAGTAGTTAAGTAAGATAAAGTACGAGTGTAGGCGAAACTTTACTCATTCGGCAAAAAGTTTTCTACTCTCTAACTAACTCATAGTTCAAGCCTTGCCTCACCTTTGACCTGTACAACTTTTCCTTTCACGATTTTAAGCCATTTTGTCGACCGGTAAACTATTTTATAATGTATATGGGGACTTGTGCAATTTTCTCATATCCTGCAACCTGCCTCCAATTCATTTACGAGGTGCAGCCACCACAACAACAACAACAACAACCAACTAAAACATGTGCTGAAGCCCCTTTAAGCCCGTTTCAAGTAACAATGCCCAAAAATTAACAAAAACCTAATAGGCCAAGCGTACAAATGCAATGTAAAGGCTTTTGGTCCAGTATCCTTTCTGGCCAACAGGCTCGCTTTTCATAGCTCCTGTCCGCCTGCCTGCCTCCGCCCTCCTTCTTGATGCAATGAAAAATGTAAATACTTTTAGCATGCTGCAAAGTGGAAGGACAAACCGAAACTGGCATAAACAACAGGGATGGCCCCATTGCAGGACCTCAACTGGCAAAACTTTGGCGCTGCCAAAACAAAATATTTAGATTGCAAACACACCCAGAAATACCCACACCCACACATACGCAAACACACACTTATAGAGTGAACAAATATAAGAGTCTCCCACACGAAATAATCGACCAAAACTTTTATTTTTCGGAAATACCCTGTAATCCTTGAATATCTACATTTGGAACACAAGTCGTTTTAGAAGCTATAAATCAAGCAAAGCATTTTCCAAATGCCCGAGGGATATGCGACTATAACCGATATCAGTTTCACTAAACTTTTGTCCAAGTTGGCATGAAAAAACAAAAACATCTATTGGATTTGTGGTATAAGCTTTGAGTACTTAATCATGTTGCTTGTTTAAACAGCAAATCTTTTGCCTTCGATGAAAAATACACATACAAGTTTAGCTTTAAAGCTTAATTTAATTTCTTTATTAATATATTTAATACTGTTAAAAACTTATTTGTGATTTTAAGTTGCATACAGTTTTTTGAGGTTGCTCTTTAAATTTCAGCATTCAAGTTGTATTCACTTAATACCACTTTTAAATCTCTTCAGCTGAAATATTTCAGTAGTGTATGCAAGTTTTGCAGGGCAATCCAGATGCTAGCTAATATGTAAAATCAAAAACTCATGCTACTTTTTACTTGTTAAGCGCTTTTTGTCTGTGGGCTCTCTTTCATTTGCCTCGAGCAGCAAACAACGATGATGAAGAAATTGTAGTTGTTGTTGTTGCAAACAGGCTTGTTTGCATTCCGTGCAACATTTGCGTGGCATGCCAGAAGGCAAGGCGAGGCAAGCAACAGACAGCCCAAACAGTCGGCGCTCAACCTGGCCTGTATTTTGAGACGTTGTTGGTGTACTCGCTGATTTATTTGTGCACAGCACAAAATTTCCGTTTCCGTTTCCATCTTTGGCCGTGTGCTATTTGTAGTAGGAGGAGGTTGTGAGTTGTTTGGGTGTGGTCTTTTCGTATTTTGTGCCGCATAAATTAGGCAACAAAAAGTGATTTTATGCATTTGCGACGTGTTATATATGCGGGCGTGCAACAAACTTGCCCAGAAGCGCCAAACACGCAAATGTTGCACTGTCAACGAAGGAGTTGCTGCAGCTACAACAACAACTGGCGGCCACAATCATCGTGGCCAAAGCTTATTAGTCAAGTCGAAGACGCTATGCGGGCAACTTTTATTGAAATCCGTGATCGCATAAAACCACACACACTCCTCCTACTCAGGGACTCACAGTTCAGTAACAGTTTATGTAGCTAGCCTAGGGCATAATAGAAAAACCGCCCGCAACCTGCCCCCCGCCCAATTGGGAATGGGCGGCACGCTCCAACAATAAATCGTATGTAAGAATTTGTAATAAATTTGCAAAGCAGCAAATGCAGCAGCCACAAAGTGCGACGCAGACAACGGAGCGCATACGTAATGCAGCTGGGATAACGTAGCATACCAAAAATAATAAAAAAAAAAAAGTACTACATGGATTTGTGGTGCCATCGCTATCAAGGAATACGCTGGGCTAGAAAAAAAAAAAAACTAAAATATAACAAAAGCAAAGGCAGCGAGGCAAATGCAAAATAGCAAACGAAAGACAATGCGAGTCAGTTGCTTAAATTGAAAAGCGCGCGAAGACACAGAAAAGTATTACCAAAGTTCTTGGGGGATTTAAAAGGCAAATAGTTTGTATCTCGGACACATTTTAAATAGAAATGGCTAAAAATAACTAAAAAGCTATTAAAGATACATCTAGCTTTAGCTAAAATTTAATGCAAAATTTTGGCTTATGTCCATCGGCCAGGATACAAATAATACTCCATATATCAGCAAGAGACTTTAAGTGTGCTTTTTTTTTGTCGCATAAATTAAAATGCAATGTGCTGAAGCGCTCTGCTCGGGCCATATTATAGTACGCAATAAAAGGAAATTGCCGCCACTTAAGCACAATGAGAATCACAAAGAAAGCCGCAGCTCAAGCACTTGATTAATCTGAAATAAAAAACAAAAAAAAAAAGCGTTTGCGGTGCAGATGCTACCAATTTTATTGGCATTCGCCATTCGCTTGCTACGACAACATCCACAGAGATGGGTAAAAAAAGAAAATGTTAATTAAATAAATCAAGCAAACCAAGTTCAATGGGATTGCAGCGGAAATGAGAGGGAAAATCCCAGCAGAGGCCTGTGCTGGCTGTGTGGCAAGTTGTGCAGACCAAATGAACTGTGAACGCGTCCAGTGGAGAGAAATGGCCGACTGCGTGACGACGACAGTGTGAACGGCGCACAGGATGTGTCAGGATATGCAAAGGGCATGCCTGCACGTGCAGCAGCATCGGCATCAGCAGCTGTACAGGTACCAGCAGCATCAGCGGCACCAACAAGACCTGCGTCTGTTTGTTTGTTTGTAATTACATTTAAAGCAAATAAATGTAATTATTTATTGCAGTTGGGCGCCAGTTGACACGCGTTTCAACCACTGGACCAGCACTTTGGCGCTCTGGCTCAATGAAAGTTATTCAGGAAGCGCTTCGGACAGCGATGCAGATGTTTGCTGTTGTTGCTTTTACCTGGCGGCATCAGGCATATAATCACATTTTCAAAATTATAAATAATGCATTATTGAGAGCCTGGCGGCAATTGTTATTTATAATCGCATTTTCAATTTAAATGTTTAGTCAATTAATGCACGCAATGTGAATAGCATGACGTATACATCATGTTGCGCACTCAACACGCAGTCACATACAGCACAAATATTTGCTCAGTGCACAGAAATGGTAAAGTAATTTATGTGTTCATTATCGAGTAAGGCAGACGCGCATTTAGTGTTTCAGTTAGTTAATGTTATAAGCGCTGACATGCAACGTGCCCCCTTAGGCCCAGCACTCTTGTATGCTGCAAAAACTCAAACATCAAATTGCATTTATCGCCCACAACACGCAAAGCAAATAACGCATTCAACTTAATAAACAAACATCCATAATAAATGTGCAGGCGATAAATATGAAAATATAATTTATAAGAATTTAGATCAGTTGCAAGATTGCAACTTTTATAATCAATTTTATTATGCTTAAATAAATATCAAATGAGCTGTTATGGTAATAAATGAAATATGTAATATAAAGTCAGCGTAGGCGCATATAAAGCGACATAACGATTTTGACATTTTTGTCGTGTTTATTGCATGTTTAGCATTACATATCAATTATTGCAGCCTGTCAGACGATGTTGTATGTCTATGTGTGTGCGTGAGTGTGTGTGTGTTGTTGTTGTTGTGTTAGTGCGAGTTCGTGTTATGACTGCATGCAAATCACGTTGCTTTGCATTTTGGCAAAATACATTTTGCACCTACAACGACAGCTGCAACTACAGCAACAACAAATGAATCAAGTAATTGCTGCATATGCGTTTGTGTGTACCACTGTGCGTGTGTGTGTGTGTATCACTGTGCATGTGTGTGTGTACCACTGTGCATGTGTGTGTGTGTACCACTGTGTGTGTGTGTGTGTTTGTGTTAGTGCAAATAATGACAGAGAGCATAAGCAAACACGCACATCAGCAACTGACGGCTGCCTATCGCTGTGTGCTAACCACAAAAGGCAGCAGGTTCATCGAGGCAGAAGAAAGACAGCGGCGTCTGCGTCTGCGTCGGCGTTGACGTCGACAGCGGCTGACACGTCACATGTTTCCGCCTTTAGCACGTAACGGGGCTTATGGACATGGGCAGGACATGCAGGATATACGCACATGCACAGAACAGCAGAGAAAGAGCGAGAGACACAGAGAGAGAGAGAGGAGGGACAAGTGTTTGAATTCATTAAAATTCAACAGATTTGACGCACAAGTAATTTGACTTGAACCCCTTAAATTGCCACATCCCATGTGCAGCTGCTGCGCTGCTGTTGTGGTGGTGCTGCTGCTCTGCATACTGTTTTGACTATCTGATGGATGACTGGGAGTTAAATAATTGATGAACTTTGGCCTTGCTAAGCTCGTAAATTAAATTTAAAGTGCACTAGCCAAGTAAATATTTAATAATCAACTTGGCTTTCTGGGCTAAATAAATAAGTTTATTTGGTAACAAGACCGATGAGTTGGCATCCAAAAATCAAGTCAAGGCCTCACCAGCACCTGCTGCTGGCTGCAACTACTGCAGCTCCTCCTGCTGCTGCTTTAGTAACTGATGAAAGTAATCAAAACTTTGTGCGTTATTTGTGCAACTGCAGTCGTGTTGCACTTTGTTGTTACACTAGAAAAGGGGAGAGCTGTGCGGGGCGGGAATCTCGCCTCAAATGTTTGTTAATTAGAATTCCGAGAATACAAGCATATAAAGGGCCGGCAAATGCCACGCCCACCAACTGTGCGAAAAATGCACAAATTAAAATACACAAAGGAAAAATTGACGAAAAAAACTGTGCGCAAAGCAAAAATAAAAAAAAAAAAACTTCTCACATTCCTTATTTGTAGTTACGCGCAAAATTATAGATTATGAGCAATATAAAGTATTTTTATCCGGTACGTGTAATCCCAAAATAACTACGTGCTCCACCCACGCAGGACGCAACTTTTTGGTGCAAGCTAACAAAAGGTGTAAACTTCCGTGTGTCGTGTCTTCGGCAGGTCATTTTGGGGAGCAAACTTTAAAAACAAGTCACAGAAACATCGTCGATGATTTTGCCAAATAAATAAAAGACGAACTAAATAGTCGTAAAACTTTGAAAAGCATTGAATGATACACGCAAGCTGAATTAAACTTCCAGGAAGTTTATAAATAAAACAGTTGAACACATCTTAAGAGACCCAAAAAGCTTTAAAATCTAACCAGATTAGGGGTATGAGCTGAGCAGGGCTGGCCTCAGTTCTCAATAGCTTCGGCTGCAAACCTTTCGAGAAATTACCCAGCTAAAAATAATTTAAAGGAGATTAGACACAAATGTAATCAATAAAGGATGACAGATTTAATACGAATTATTTTATTTCCTGGGCTGTATGAAATTGAAAATTGATACAAAGAGCTCAAGCTGAATTTTATATTTATTGTTCAAGTTTAAATATGAAAGGCCATCAAATATTGTTTTCCCAGCTTTGAAAACGTTTACAAATTGATCTACAGACTGTGTAAAATATTGTACTTTTTAGTTAAATATAATATTTATTTAATATGAATAAATACCTTGGGAACATAAGCTAGTTAAGCTATTCGTCACTTTCATGATTCATAAGCTTAACAGAAATTTGCAGGCAAAAACATAACAAATCCTAGATAAAATCATTACTTAAAGTCGACTTAGTTGCTTAAATTCCTATTTGTTTGAGGGTGACACCCTTATAAAATTGGTGAAGCAATGCCAAGGAATGCATTCATGAATATTTTTGCACAATTTATTTCTTTTGTTGTGCAACAACTTCACGCGACACACAATGCATCATGAACGAAATGGGACAAAAAATATATATAAATAAAGCAACAACAGGAAAGGAGGAAAAAATAAACAGTTCTCAAGCACCCTGCTGTTGTTTGCAACTTGGCTGCACCTGTTAATCAAATGTGCAGCATATTGAAAAAAAAAAAACGTTATGACTTCTTTAAAAAAGCAGAAAATTCCGAGCAAATAAGCAAGAAAAAAAAGAGCGCTGCGAATGAAGCGCATTTACATACGGTGCCACATCCGTAACACCGTGTGGCAGACACGAGCAGACTTTGGGGTTGTGTTTTTTTGTGTATATTTTTAATCACTGTTTGGCTACTCACCCATCGAACACATCGGTGCCCACGTAATGCGTGTAGTAGAAAATGCTAATCACGGTGATGGCAAACAGGGCGAGGACACATCGTCGTACATTGATGCCAATGCAGCGGCGTGCAATTAAATTACAACAATGGCACAGCGAATTAGAAATGGACGAGCTGCCATTTCCATTGCCAGAACTGCTGCTGCCAATGGTCGCTGATGAGGTAGAGTTGAAGTCGTAGTTGCTGCCATTTGTTTTGGCCTTGTACGTGACAATGCCGCTAGCCAAAAACCCGTTGGATGTGTGCTCGAACGGCAGCAGCGGACTGTGGTCTGTGATAATGGTTGTATTTGTTGTTGCAAGCAGGTCGGGGGACGTTGCATGGTCATTGTCGAAATGCTTGCTGAGATGGCCGCAATCGACGAAGCCTGCGTCTCCATCCCCATCCGCATCCACATCCCCATTCGAGTATGCATCAGCATCCGCATTCGCATCCGCATCCCCATCCGTTTGGGTGCCGGTCACGCTCGTCGTGCCCGACTGCATTTGCGGCTGTTTAATGAGTTTTTCATATTTCAGCGATTTGCCTGGCAAGCGATTTGCAATATTGTTGTGTATTGTTGTTGTTGTTGTTGATGTTGTTAATCCAATTGTTGTTGTTGTTGTTGTTGCTGCTGCCGCTGCTGTTGTTGTTGTTCTTGCTGCTGCGGCTGCTGCTGATATTGTCATATTGTTGTTGGACTTCCGCTCGGTGGTGTGCGACTACAAGTTGTCTATATTTATATATATATATATATATATTTAGGTATATATATATGAATATATATGTATGCTTGTGTAAAGATTGCTCTCTAATTGGCAGCGTTACTTTGGGGATATGTGTTATTCGTTAGTTGGAACTATGTCTTTATATATGAAGTCAACACTCGCGTTTTTCTATTTTGTTATGGCACTTGTTACAATTTCTTAGTCGCGAATAAATGTTTTTTCTATAATTTCATTGAGTTTGAATTGTTTAGTGCTCACTATTCAATTCGCCATTTGATATGTTTCCAAATTTTCAAATATTCATTTTGTTGGGCCATTGTGGCTACAAGTGCTGTTCCTGTTGTTGTTGCTGTAGCTGACTGTGTTGACTGCCATTATCAGTTAGATGACAACAGACCCACTTTCAGTTGCTGTACATTATCAGGCATTGACTGGGTCGTCTTATCTGCAATAATTAAATGAAAACACATTGAATAAATAAATAGTAAACAAATAGTAATAACAGTCTTATGGATGTTGCAGCTAATAAATGCTCTTTGGTTTGTTAACTTAAATATGAGAAGTCAAACACACTATATTGTAGAGTATTCATGAGACTATAACTCTATGATTTAATAATTTTATATGTAGCTGGCAAACTTTCAAAACTAATTGATGACTCGTTCAGTTTACATTCTATTGACATTTATGAAAGCTTTGCGAATGTGCCCTTGGGGACAATAAATAACAGTCTACTGCTCTCTATAAGCCCATGATAAGATGTTATTTCATTTGGTTGGCAACTTGAATATAAAAATAAATACAATGCTGATAATTCGGCAATATAAGCCGCAAACATTTGCTCATAGATACAAAATGCGCTCTCTCTATATATGTGTGCGTAAGCTTTGCCATTGACTGCATATGTGGATTACTTTAATTGCAAATGGCTGCGGCTGTCAGCCACATAATGACAACATGCTTTCAGGCGCTTTATGGCCAAGCCAAATGAGTCAATAATGAGGTTTAGATGAGCAACAATATTTGCCAAGCTCTTTTTCTTGTCTACATAAACATTTGTCGACACGTGTGCGCTGGAAAGCAGGCAAGCGTAAAAAGAAAAAAAGGAAAAACATAAGCTTTGCAAAAGATACTTTATTATTTAGCAAGAACAAGAAATAGTTGGTATTTCGGATTGGTGAGTTCAGTTTTATCTATCATATCTTTAATATGCAACTATTTTAAAGCGTTTCCCCGAAGACAGCATTGTGATATACAGACTTGCAAAATATTACTTATACTTTATTAGAAATATTATCCTATCATCGTAATCATATTTCTTCAGCGACAATTATTACTATCTACTGGAGGAAAATGGGCCACAGCTTGCTGATAGATAGTCCGAGAGCGTATTTGACTGTGGTTTAAATTTTCTCGAACAGCTGGGCATCAGAAACCACTTTAGGACACTTGCAATAACTTACACAGATCATTTTTCTAACTCAGCCATAACAGCAATGACGTATAAACAGCATCAGTTATGGGCCGACTAGCAGCAGAATGCTGTTAGACAGGCTAACAACAACGCAGTCTCTGCACATTTTTGGCCTCGTTTGTTGGCTCTCTTACAAATTTATCATTAAAATGTCAGAACTTAAATTGATTCAAAAAGTTTAGCCGGCGTTCGCAAAGGAAGTGTGCAAATGGCTGTCGGTGGCGGTGGGCGACCGCATCGCAACTTCCCTTAGCTATGGGGCAAGCTAGCAATGTCACGACAATGCCATGCTCCGCCCTGCCACTTACCGCAGCCACTCCTACTCCTGCCTTCTGCCTCTTGCTTTTACCACTCGCAGTTGGTTGCATTGTCGCTTAGGCAGAAGTTTGTTTTTTTTTCATTTATTTATTTCTTTCATTTTTTTTTTGGTGGTGCTTGTGCGGCTGCTGTTTGTTTGTGTGGCTGTTTGCTGGCTGCATACTTTAAGGCGCGCTCGAAACTTTGCTTTCTTCGTTAGACAAACTTGTTTAATTTCCTTCTCCTTACCCACTCACCCGCAGCAGCAGCAGCAGCAACAGCAACGACTGATTCGGCCCGCTCGACTGCTTTCGTTTCTGTGGCATAAATACCTTATCTAAACTTTTGCATCAGTTTTTGTTGCTGCTGCTTGTTGTTGTTGCTGATTTGCTTGTCCTACAACTCGATCTTTCTATCTCTGACTCTGTCTGCATTTATATATATATATATTTAAGCTCTTGTATCTTTGTCTCTCTGCAGGTTGCCAGCAATAACAATGCATGTGGCTTGCACTTTTCAATTTGCATCAAATATTTATGCAGGTCTCTATTTTCTTCCCAGTCACTCACACTATTGTAATGGTCATGTATATTCTGGCTAATAACACATGTCTCTAAAGTTTCACGTTGAGTTATTTCTGTTTGCTAGCTTTCAATTTGCTTGCACCGACAAAAATTCATTTTCTGGCATTTCTGTTTATACCGATGTTTATACGTATGTATGCATTTATACGGCATCGTGTTTCTCCTAAATAGCATGGGGACTGGGGCAGCAACAGCAGGAGATAGGTGTATGCACGGCCATTAAACAATTTGCTGAGCATGTTGAAAACTTAATGCCACAAACTTCGCGCCTGGCTCTTTAAGACCCCAGACCTCATCGCAGCTTCACATGGCATCCAAGTTTTGTTCTTGGCCTTTTTCCGCTACTGTTAATGGTTTTGAAAACTATTTATTTTACGATACATTTTGTTTACATTGTTTGAGTTCTGCTGGGGCATCGTTTACGGTGCTCACTCACTCGCTCTCTATCCCCGTCGCACTCGGCAATTTGCCACCCAACACCCTGGGGCACACCCTCAGCATATTTCTCTAAATTGCATCGAGGCGTGTTGCTGACGGTGCAACAACAACTACAATAGCAGCTGATGCTGGAGCTCTACCATTACGTAGAAACAATTATATACGTTTAAATTTGATTAAGAATCAGATTACAATGTATTTACTTTAAATTATTATTTCAAAAAGACCAACTACATTGTGTGTTAAGTTCGGAACGCATTAATTACCAATCATCAATAAGGCCTACTATAAAGAAAATGTTTTTAATTTAAATATTTATTATTCCCAATATATATCATCTTTCAACCCTACCCATAAAAGTTAAATAATTTTTATAAATATTTATCCAGAGAAAGATTGCATAATATTTCCAACTTAATGAGAGTGACCCACAAAACAAAAAAAAAAAAGAAGACTTTACAAAAACAAAAGAAAAATCGATTATACCCCATGTGTAGAAGTGTATAAACAACAATTGCAGCAATAACAACATTGAAGTGTGCCCCAGAGATGCCTAGTAACCTACACGCCCCCCACGGCCACCCTCATCATTCTTTGTTGTTGTTGTCTATATTTTTTTTGGATTTTACTGGTGTTTTTTTTCTGTTGGTTGCCCATTTATCAGTCAGCATTTGTTGTTCTTGTTATTGTTTTTTAGTTGTTGTATGCTTTGTTATGTGATGTTTGTTTGTCTGGCCCTTTGTCTTTTTTGTTAGCTTTTCGCGCGTTCGCGTCACGAGCTGCCAAACCCACTGAATGAACATATATATATATAGATAAATATATATATATATATATATATATATAAATATATATAGTAGATGCCAGTCCCAGAGAGCCGCCTGTCAGGCCAGACATATTGATAATCGTTTTCAATTTGTGTTGTTTTTGTTGCTGCTGCCACGGCAACAACAACAAACAAAAGTGGGGAAAAATGGGTAAACGGGAAAACAATCAATTGTCTATAGTAAATTGAATGCAGCACCAACATTTTCCGAGAGTTATTTTGCCCCCTTTCCCCCCACTCCAATGACTTGCACAAATCATTTAACCTAACCCACTGACGCCCAAGCGAGCGACTCATTGGCCAGACGAGTGTCTGGACTGGTGTGTCCCCCAAACCATTTGACTGATGAATGTGTCTTGAGCATTATGCACTATTTGCCACACATATGCCATGCACTGTTGATTCCCCGGAATCCGAGAATCTATTTTGTCTTTTACTTTGCGTAGGCGTCGGCTGCAGGCGGCTGCGGCGGAATTTTCCCATGTTGCACGATTCGGAGTCAATGTTGCCTCTATAAACAATTTGTGTGCATCTAATGAGTTTTCACACTTTAACGCCTGCGTCTGTCTTCTCTTTAAGACTTGCGGGGTCTTTCTAATGCCCCCCTATTTGCTTTTTGTGTGTTTGTCTCTCATCTTTTATGTTGTCATAAATCAATTGGACTGACATCGATCGCTGCATGTGCTGAGGTTTGTCTACATTTATATTAGAACTCAAAGTTCGTGGGCGGCTACCAGGTGATTGAGTTTCTGTTTGGAATAATTTCCGAGGAGCACAAGTTTTCAATTATTGTCAGATAGCTCATGGGAAAACTCTTTCTGATAATTTAAAGTTATTTCAAACATTTATCCATATCAGAAAACCGAAACTCTTCATGTGAAGCAAAGATAAGATTAGAAGCCCCTCTCTGAAGTTTTCTCCTGAGTATTTTGCTTTTAAGCATTATTATTGCACATTTCCAGCTAATCAGCATTAAGAAGTCTCTATAAAAGTTTTGTGAACTCCAATTTGGAACAATTACAAGCACATTAGAAAATTTCTGTGGCAATTAGAAATTACATATCTCCAAAAACATTTCGTGTTTGGGAGTTGCTCGACAATTCCCTAGATGCATGCAATACGAAGTGTTTTTTAAAGTGTTTTACAAAGTGTGTCTGAATGGCTGCTGCTGTTGTTGTTGTTGTTGTTGTTGTTGTTGAAACTGCCTGAACTTTTCTATAGATGAGACACATATCACTTAAGAGATGTCACACTGGCATTTATTCCTGCTGTTGCTGTCAATTACACGCTGCGACTTTATAATGGAATGGCTGAATACTTGTGCTGTGGTTCTTCTAATGTT